CGGTCCGTGGCGCAAAAAAGGTTGGGGACCGCTGATGTATTGTATAGATAAAGTTACATAAGGCAACTTCAATTCAGTTTTATTTCTATTGGATCAAATCATAACAGCAGTCGCCTCAAGGCACTTTATATTGTGAGGTAATACAACTTCAACAATTACCTGATGCCCAATGAGCAAGCAGTTGGTGACTGGGGGAAGGAAAAAAACCTTTTTAACAGGAAGAAACCTCCAGCAGAACAAGGCTCAGGGAGGGGCAGCTATCTGCCACGACCAGTTGGGGATAAAGATTGCCTTTATAACTATACGTATTCAGAGGTAAACAACAACCTTAGAAACATATTCTGTGTAAGTGACAGAAAATGTTAAAAAATAAAGGTACAAAGATACAATAAAGAAGGGAATAAGTCTTTTTTCTACAACAGAATCAAAGCAAATCTTTTGTTCCAGTGTTTCAATTTTTTAAATTATCCACCTTAAAGAGTTAGAAATACTTAAGGGAGTAATCTGCCTGGAAAGTGCGTTTGAAAAGTGCATCCTCATTTGCGATTGAGAGAAGCTTGGAACCAAGTTCACGCAGCAGCTGACCCCGTCTAAAATAAAACAAAAAGTCGCTCCAATTAAACCGAGCTGCTGTTTCAGCTACATTATTCACCAACAGCAATTAACGGGATTATCTCGAGCAGGGTAAACACTGTGATGCAGAAGGCTAATTTTTCACTGCCTTTAAAATTCAGCTCTAGCATTTCACTCACTTAACGAAAAGAGAAAGTGAAGGAAACTACACCGCCCGCAGTACACATACACAAACACAGAATGCGCCTTTGTTGTCTGACCTTGAAAATTAATTTGAAGCCTGTAAAAACTGCTTTCCCAGCGTGTCTGAAGTGTGTTTCTTAATACACAGAGATGTGGGGGGAGAGAGAGAGTGGGCGAAGGGGGTGGGGAGGGGGAGGGGGAGTAACGCTGCTATTGACTCGCACACAGCACAGTCTTTAGAGGCAACCTCTCACAGGCTCAAGGACAGCCACAAACAGATGTATTCATATGCACTGGAACTCATTTTGAACTGGGTACGTTTAAGTACATGCAGCTGTGACGCACCTCAGAGATGCAGAAGGGGCTGTTTCCCTGATATCAGCGGGTGGAGGATGCAAGTGTTTACTGCAAAGATAAGGACGCCAGATTGAATGTTTATCAAGTGGATACAAATGAATCTTTTTTCTGCTTTTCTGCATAAAGAGTTAGAGAGTGCTGGCTGCTGGTGCTCATAAATTTTACTCTTATTAAAAGAGAGTGATTCAGAAAGTGACACAACAGGTTCCTATTGTTTTAAACGTACAAAACAAAGTCTGCAGAGTGATAATAATATGCAAAACCTGACATAGATAAAACAGAAGTAACTGCAAATGATGTTGATTAGAAGAGGTCATTTGCAGGGTGTCCCATCTGCTATTTGTTAAATATATAGCTGGAATATTATTTATTTTCATGATGCAACATGATGAAATTTTGCTAATTTTACTACTTTAATGCAAAACCATCTTAAGGTTTGTTTATCTAACCGCAGAGGAACCTGGACCTTCATTTGAGGCTTTTAGAGTTTGATGTGTAAAAGAATCTGTAATTACATTTCTGTTCAAGGTTCACCTCATTTACAGAATAATTCAGCCTGTTTAGCTAAAATGACTAAACTTAAACGTGTAAAATACAAAACTTTTCACTTTAAAGTTTTTTAGC